CTATTAATGTATGAGTTTATGCCTTCACCATCATTTCACTGGGGTTTCAGGTAGAAAAGAAACAAATTGCGTGTTCAGACTGCTAATTTGAACTTTAAAATCTCCCCTGGTCTGCAGTAAGGAAAGAATTCGAATGCCTCCTAATTCACTTTACGAATGCTCGTGCGCTCCTAAGGACTGCCCTCTCTGCCGCTTTCTCAGGGGAAGGCAGTTTTCTCTCACCTCACCAGTGAGCCTGGCAGGGCAGCAGGTGGTCTCCTTGCTCCTCACTGCTGCTACTAGACTGACCTTCCCTCCCCTTAATAACATGTCATTAGATTACATCGCCCGCTACCCCCTTGTGGCAGTCATACCTGTTATCATTTCCCTTTATCCCTTGAAGGTTTTAGCTCCTGGCTCACCATAACTCTCTATAGCACTACTCCTTTGATAATGCTTTAATAGCCACACAGATGGTATTTTCAATATCTCAGTGAGCATGTTCTCCAATGTGCCTCAGTTACCTGCCTGACCTCGTCATTACCCATAATGTCAGCTTCAAGCACTTGCTCTTTGACCATCTACACATCCAGTTGACTTCTTCCAACACTCAAATTCCAATAATGCTTATCAGGTCTTCCAATCCATTGATCCTATTACCTTTTCACTACTCCCTGTGTTCTTATTTTCTGTCTTACCTAATGTAAATGCCGTGATCCAATGCTGTCATCCCTTCCTTAAAACTCCTTCGCCATCTGTCTCTTCACACACATCCCCTTTATCTGCAGTTTCACTTTCCATGATTTCAGTTATTACAGTCAGTTGCAGTCTAAAGATGTTACGTAGAAAACCCCGGAATAAATAACTCATATGTTTTAAATTATGTGCGGTTCTGAGTAGCATAATGGAATCTTGCCCTGTACCTCTCTGCCCCACCCACTAACCCCAACCAACGACACTGTCCACTCCTCATCCTCATATCTCGATGACCCAGCTCATCTGAAGCAGTTGATCCTCCCTCTCATACATCATATCAGCTCTTTTGTTGCCTAACGCCCTGTGACAGTGCCTACATCATTCACCTCACTTCATCTCGTCCCATAGGCATTTTATCACCTCATATCATCACGAGACGAAGGGTGAACGTGGTACAATGAGATATTTTCAGAGAGAGACTGCACTCACATAACTTTTATTACAGTATATTATTATAATTGTTTTATTATATTATTAGTTATTGTTCATAATCTCTTGCTATGCCTTGTAAGTTAAACGATCATAGGTATTTATATATATGAGAGAAAACATAGTAATATATAGGGTTCAGTACTATCCATGGTTTCAGGCATTCACTGGGGGTCTTGAAACATAATTCCCATGGATAAGGGGGGACTATTCTTGGAAAAATCCCAAACATAGTTAAATCCAATTCTCTGATTACTTTACCTAAACCCACATAAATGACCTAGGCTGGTTATGAACATAGAACCATGTTGACTGGTTGCTCTTTACAAGTTTTATTCTTTTATTTTTGTTGGAGTTTGTAGCCCAGAATATGATGTATCCTGATAAATGATCCCTGTCACTCAAAAAAAAAAAGTGCATTGTGCTGTTGTGAGTGGAGTGTCCTAGGAGTGTCAAGCGGGTCAAGTTGGTTGTGTTGGTCAGGTTTTTAGACTGGTCGTGATTTCCTACTTCCTTTTTCTATTGATTTCTGAGAGCAGAGTGTTGCAGTATCCGACTATAATCATGAGTTTGTTCATTTCTCCTTCCAGTTCTAGCAGTTTTCTTATCATTTCCTTTGAAATTCTGTCATTAGGTGCATATGTATTGAGGATGATGTGTCTTCATGGTGAATTGACCCTTTATCATTCTGCAGTGTCTCTGTTATCCTTACTAATAACCTTTGCTCTGAAGTCTTTCATTTTAATATTGACACCTCAGCTTCCTTTGATTAGTATTTGCATAGTACTAATATATCATTTTTTCATCCTTTTTCTCTTTTTAAAAAGACTTTATTATTTTAGTCTTTGGCTGTGACGCATCTTCATCACTGCATATGGGCTTTCTCTAGTTGCGGCCAGAGGGGGCTACTCTTCATTGCGGTGTATGGGTTTCTCATTGTAGTGGCTTCTCTTGTCGTGGAGCATGGGTTCTAGGTGCGTGGGCTTCAGTGGTTTTTGCAGGTCCTGAGCTCTAGAGTGCTGGCTCAGTAGTTGTGGCACATGGGCTTAGCTGCTCCATGGAATATGGAATTTTCCCAGACCAGGGATTGAACCAGTCAGTGTCCCTTGCATTGCAAAGCAGATTCTTAAACACTGGACCATCAGAGAGGTCCATCCTTTTTCTTTTATCCCATTTACATGTTTATATTAAAAATGGGTTTCTTGTAGACAGTATATGGTTGAGTCTTTTTTTTTTAAATATAAAATCTGACGTCTGCCTTTTAATAGGAGTGTTAAGACTATTTACATCTAATCTAATTATTAGTATGGTTGGGTTTCACACTACCATCTTGTCAGTTGTTTTCTGCTTGTTCCATCTGTTCTTTGTTCTTATTTCAATCTTTTTCTGTCTGCTTTGGGATTAATTTTAATGACTTAATTTTATCTCCACTATTGGTTCATCAGTTATGTCCCTTTAAAAATGTTTAATGGTTGCTTTAGAGTTTACAATGTGTGTCTTTAATTATAGTCAGTCCCTTTTGAATGATGTAAGACCTTACAACAGTATACTGCCAATTTCTTCCTCTGATTCCTTGTGCTAATTTTGTCTTATATTTTACTCTTACATATTTTGTAAACCCCACAATAATTTTTTTAAAAATCATATTTGCTTTAGACCAGAGGGTAACAAACTATGACTCTCAGATCAGTCACACGTTTCTGTAAATAAAATTTTATTGGCATACAGCCACACCCATTGTTTACCGCTACTTTCACACTACAGCTGTAGAGTTGAGTAATTCCAAGAGACCACATGGCCTGTGACACTAAAACCTTTACTATCCAGCTCTAACAAAATGTTGGCCAAGCCTTGCTTTAGGGAGTTATTTTTAGAGCAATTAGGAAGTGTGAACTTAGCCTCCTATGGAGCATCTCTGGAGCTCTTGATTTCTTTTCATGGATCTGATTTTCTGTTTGGTACTCTCTGCCTCCTGCCTGAAGAATTTCCTTTAACATTTCTGCAGGTCTGTTGTCATTGATTTCTCTCACCTGTTGTCTTTCTGGGGAAGTATTTATTTTGCCTTCACCTTTGAAGTATATTTTCACTAGGTGTAGAATTCTGGATCAATAGCTCTTTCAGCATTTTAAAGATGCTGCTCCATTGTTTTCTGCTTGCATAGTTCCCGATGAGAGTCTATTATAATTTTCTTTGTTCTTTGAATATTATGTGCCTTTCTTCTCCCTCTGTGCCTCCCCTTCACCCAGCCCCAGCTCCACAGATTGCCTTTAAGCTTCTCTCGGTAACACTGGTTTTCACCTCATAGTCAATTAAATTAAAAGGTGTCTAGGTGATACTGGTTTTGTTTGGTATTTACTCTTCTTGGTTCTCTGGGTGTTTTGGATCTATGGTTTGATGTATTTCATTTCTTTATGCAATGCTTTACCACTATCTCTTCTTCTCTATCTAAATGTTTCTTCTGTGCTATTCTCTGACTCTTATCCTCTTGTCCAAAAGAGCAACGTGGGGACCTGTCCCCATGTAGCCGTTGGTGATGCTCTGCGCCTGCATTACGGAGTGGGGCTCTGTACTGTCATCTGCCTGTCTTCCATCTCTCCCAGGAGCACCCACTGGAGGCCTGTGGGGAAAGTTTGTGAGTGAGAGCAAACTCTCCCTATGTCTGCAGCTCCCAGCTGTTTTGAACAGACACTGTCACCCACACTCAGCGGCTAGTTAAAACTTAAGCTCACTTCTTCTTCCCCACTGGTACCTGCTGGCCGCCTCCTCCCAGGGCCTACCCTCAGGTAACACAGTGAGAGCCATCTCTCCTCAAAAGGGCTTTTATTCCCCCTTGCAGTTCCTGTATGTTTGCTTCCTTGTGACCTCAGATTTCTGATGGTTTAAAAAAAAAAATTGTGATTGTGCAGCAGATCAGGGTGGGTGACATTTGTAATTTTCTGCACCATAAGTGGAAGTGGCCTCTCCACTGAGTGCCCTTTAAACTCCTGGCAGCACCCTCTTCACCGCTGCTGAGCAGTCCAGATTCATCTCGCTGGTGGAATCATTCTCTCATTTTCCTGGATGACTGTTTCAAACTTTTCCCCATCTCCTCCAGCAAACTCACTCTCCATTGATGAATTTGCTTCCCATTTCAGTGATAAAATCAGAACCTCTCCACCAACTTCCACTGTAATACTTACTCACCTACTTGTTTGTAGTCTGCCCTCCCTCCTTTAGTGTGAAAACAGTGTGAAAATTCATGTGAAAATAGTGTGAAAATTCATGACCCCAGCAGAGATCCATACCCCTAATTATCCATCAGATCCCACCCTCTCTCATCTACTCAAGGGAATCACTCCAGCATTTCCCCCGTCCATGCTCCTTTATCATCAACTTACCCTCTCTGCCTCAAATAACAACCTCTGCTTCCTTCTAAACTTTTCCAGGTATGATATATAACAGAGGCCTGTATTTGTGTAGTAATTTTACTTTCTTATAATGGTTATCCTGGGCTTTATTGCCATTTGTAAAAATGGAAGAGGGCCTAATAAGCTTCCTTTGTATGCATGCTAAGTCACTTCAGTCGTTGCCAACTTTTTTGCACCCCCATGGACTGTAGCCCGCCAGGCTCCTCTGTCCATNCAAAGAGTAAGCGTCTTAATTTCATGGCTGCAATCACCATCTGCAGTGATTTTGGAGCCCAGAAAAATAAAGTCAGCTTCCTTTAAACTTTTAAATTCTCTCAAATTCTATTTCTGTAGGCTCTTACATGTTGGCCTAGAGAATTCCATGTACAGAGGAGCCTGGCAGACTACAGTCCATAGGGTCGCAAAGAGTCAGACATGACTAAAGCAAGGTACATAGCACACCTTCATGTTGGCAGACAAATCATGGAAAATACTCCTTACTCCCAGCAGAGGGCACTCTCATTGTGCCCACACACTTCACAGGACGTGTGTTCCGGAGTCCAGGTGAGTTTCGGTCCGGGAAACATTTGCCTGGGGTTTCTGGTTATAATATTTCCCCAACAGGCACCTGTCTAACTGGCATTTCATGGCATGCACATGTCTTCGCATAGTTCTTTGTTGGTTGAGTTTGGCTTGAAGGGGAGGTTTCAGTAAATCATTGCTTCACACCATCAGGTAAGTTCAGATTTCCTTAGCTTGGAAACCAACCTAAGCAGAGAGATAAAAATAAACATGATCTTGAGTAACTCTTCCTGGACTTCACTGTTATACTAATAGGGTGTTAATTAGTAAAGAGCACTTAACTTTTTTACTGCCAAACTAAACAAGCAGGCTTTGTTTTTGGCTGTGGGCCCTACAACTGCATCTCAAGGTGATTTGCAAACATTAATTAAATACTTCAGTGCACACCCAAGTAGGAGGTATCATCAAGCCCTTCTCCAAGATGCGGAAAACAGATGCCCTAAGCCACTCTATGGCTTATTGAAGGTTAGCATCAAGCTGGGGCTGGATTTAGAATTCTGCAAACACTTCCAAGACTCCGTACCCATTTCCCCAGACTTCTCCAGCAAGTCATCACCTTTGAGCAGACATGGATACCTCTGCCTTCAGCAGCAGCTACAGCATCAAAACACACCAGGATGGTTCTGGGTCTTGTGCCTGCTTGTCCTGTTGATACCTTTTAAACTGTCAGCTCCCCATCTCCTAATACTTGTTTGAGAAAATGTGATTTTCAAGATCTTCATTGATACTCAGACTTAGCCTGATCATTTATAGTAACTATGACTCTGTAAGTATAATCCCCACCATCATTTAATGTCCTCTCCGAAGAGGGAGGCTTTGTCTTTCCATCATGGGCAGACCCAGGTTCTGGCCCATGGAACTTGGTAGGCTCAAGCATGGGAAATACTCAGGCTCTGTGAGGAGTAAAGGGCTCCTTTCCTGAGTCTTCTATTTTCAAAAACGGAATAGTACAAGGTGGCCTTAGCAAGGAGCACCCCCCCACCCGACCCTGCCCCTCACCATCAGGCATTCCAGGACCCTGTGCCCAAGACAAACTATTTATGCTCTGCCCGGCCTGGGGGCCGTGGCTTACATGCAAACTAGGCCAGTTTCACAGACAAGGAGGTGAACCACCTCCCAGGCCCAGAGGCCAGTCTGGCTGTTGGGAGTGAGCCCTGCAGAGTATCGGGTTCAGCACTTCAGGTCTGTCTACCCTGAGACACATACTGTAATTGCAAACCTGGAGCACCTGCAAAACACCCTGGGCTTTACTGTCCGCTTCCAGGTGTGACGTCAGGCCGAGCTGTCCAGATGGACCCGGCTTCTGAGAGCAGGTTAGTGAGTCCATTCCACTGAGTTAGTAGAATATTCTCAAAGGGGTTTCATACCAGATGAGCGGGGCTTCCCAGGCAGCGCTAGTGGCAAAGCACCCGCCTACCAAAGCGGAAGATGTGAGAGACACAGTTTCAATCCCTGGGTCGGGAAGATTCCCTGGAGGAGGGCATGGCGACCCACTCCAGCATTCTTGCCTGGAGAATCCCGTGGACAGAGGAGCCTGGTGGGCTACAGTCCATAGAGTCGCACAGAGTTGGACATGACCGAAGCAACTTAGCATGCATGCATACTCCAGATGAGTAGCTTAAACTCAGGATGTAGCAAGCCATGTACAGCTCACATGTGGCTCCTCCCCCAAGAAAGAACTCCATGAGGATCCCTTCAACTTTAATTAATGAACTAAGTGGGAATCTCCGGGCAATCCTGACCCCCCACTGGATACTCAGCAAGGGCTGCCAAACTGGGATAAGAGATGTCACCTATAGCTGTTAGCTCCCTTTCACCTGTTTCATTGCTTTCCTTACTCTCCTAAGGCAGAGCAGAACCACATATTAATGAACCCATCACAAGCTGAGTCACCAGACTTTGGTTAATATAGGATTAGAGCCTTTAGCTGAAGCAGCTAAACATGTCTGCAAATATGTTAAGCGTTTCTGGAGCCTTTGGCAATATCTCCTATAGGTTTCCTGAATCACCAGCAGGATACGGAGGTAGCTTAAAGATTCTCAGGGGTTCTGCAACATCTGGATGCCCAAATCTTGCCAGAGTTGTGAGGTGGTTGGCACACACTGTGCATGTCTCCATGGACAGGACTGAAGCTGATGGTATGAATGACTGAGGGGACTCACTTGTGAAGATCATGGAACTCCAGCTTAATGGCCAGACAGCTTCCTTCTGCACAAATTAGAAGCAAATTTTGGTGACACTGTGCCACTTAATTGGCCCCTATAATTACTTCTGGAGTAAAGAGTTCTATGAGTGTTACACAGAGGGTTGGAATGTGTCCTATTCATTCTGCTAATGTGTGTTGAGTCAAAAGGAGGAGGGAGGGAAGAGAAAGAGGAGAGAGACTCCTAGAATTTGGTTAAAGCTGAAAGTTGAGACCCTAGGTTGCTGGCCTCATGCAGGCATAAGGCTGCAGAGATAAGGACAGATCAAGAGGCATCCCCAGGGCCCACCAGCTGTATGGATAGTGTGTACTGATTTATAGTCAAACCTCCTACACAACACAATGCACAATACAAATCACTCAGCTATTAAAAAAAAATGAAATAATGCCGTTTGCAGCAAAATGGATGGACCTGGAGGTTATCGTACTGAGCAAAGTCAGTCAGAAAGAGAAAGACAAGTAGCACATGATACTACTTATGTGTGGAATCTAAAATATGACTCAAATGAACACATGACACAAATGAATGAAACAGAAACAGACTCACAGACAGAGAACAAAATTGTGGCCGCTGAACCAAAATGAGAAGAGTAAGTGTGCAGTTCCAGTGGAAATTGATAGTATTAATATTTGGCCAGAAGACCCAAGGAAAGCCTGAATCCCATCTCACCAATCCCTTCTCCTGCTGTGAGCCTCCGGAGAGTGCATCCAAACGCCGAGAAGAACAAAAGGACACTCGTGTCATTTGATAGCTGGACCAGAGTCTGATGACTTCCTGTGCAGACCTTTCTAATCACAGCCCAGCTGGAACAGGCAGTTTAGACGCTCCCTCAGCCTGAGGCTCAGTCTTGGGGTCTTGTCCCCTTCTGGTGGGTTCCATGGCATAGGAACATCCATTCATGTTGCTGTAAATGGCATTATTTCATTCCTTTTTTATGGCTGAGTAACAGTCCATTGTATATATGTACCACATCTTATTTATCCATTCATCTGAGAAGCCCTTGCTCTCATTACCTGTCCTGTTCACTTCACTTAGACAAAAAAAAGGAAAAAAAAANGCTAAGTCGCTTCAGTCGTGTCCGACTCTGTGTGACCCCATAGACGGCAGCCCACCAGGCTCCCCCGTCCCTGGGATTCTCCAGGCAAGAATACTGGAGTGGGTTGCCATTTCCCTCTCCAGTGCATGAAAGTGAAACGGGAAGGTGAAGTTGCTCAGTTGTGTCCACTGTTCGCGACTCCATGGAGTGTAGCCCACCAGGTTCCTCCGTCCATGGGATTCTCCAGGCAGGAGTACTGGGCGGGTTGCCATTAATTTCTCCGATTAGACTCTGGTCCAGCTATCAAACGACACGAGTGCCCTTTTGCTCTTCTCGGCGTTTGGATGCACTCTCAGGAAGCTCACAGCAGGAGGGATTGGTGAGATGGGATACAGGCTTCTCCTGGATCTTCTGGTCAAATTCTACCAATTTCCACCAGAGCCATACACTTCTCATTTTGGTTCAGGCGTGCAGGATTTCACTTTCCTCCCATGCGGCGGGATCAGAGCAGTCAGCGCGCACTTCTGGACTCTGCGGTCCCTCCTCATCCTCTCTGCTTCCGCGGGCACGCGTGGCAAGGGGCTGGAACTTCTGGAGCGTCCCCCGCCCCATCCTGTCCCTGCTTCTCTCGGTCAGTCCAGAGCTGTCACCAAGGCGTGGGCTTCACAGCTTCGGGTGGCGCCAGGCCCCAGGGGCAAGCCAGATCTCGGCGCCTCTCACCTCACCCCCACCCCGCTCTGTTTTTTCCTGTTCTGGCAGGAATGGGCCGACTTTCCCTCCTGCAGTTTCATGAGGGAGAAGGAGGCAGCTCCAGATTAAGTAACGAAGAATCAACAAACCAATCCCTCTACCTGTCGGATGGTCTGCAGTCGCTGAGGATGGTAACTGCCCTCTGTGCACGCGCTGGGGAGAGGAGCCGGAGTCGAGCTCTTCTTGTTGGACCTCCGGGGCTGTCCCTTGGGCGCGTGGCCATAGAGCCCTCTGGGCAGTGATCTGGGAGCATCTCCCCGCCTTTAGGGGTGGTTATGGATGTCCATCCCGAGTGTCTCCTTCACCCCACCAGACCTCAAAGGAGATGGGGAGACGGGGATGCAAAGCTAGAGGAAAAACTAAAACTTATGGCGAAATCCTCACAAGCTATTTAGACAGTTTCATGCAGCATGAATCATTATAAACTTGTCTTTCATAGAAAATAGGTGTTGGGGAATCGTAATGGCTCTGATGCTTGCAGGCAGGGGCAGAACCACGGCCACCCAACAGCAAGCAGCTTGGAAGAAGCCAAGGCAACAAGTAAAACTTCCAAAATTCGGTATTTGATCACTATGCAAATGAATTTTCGGTAAGTTTGATCTGCTTTGGAAAGTAGCTAAAGCCTCTAAAAAACTTTAACAGAAAAACACCTTGTTTTGTCCTGATTTTAACAGGGGTGTCTCATAAGTTTTCTGTTAATTAATATGGTAGCTGTTGGTTTTACATTTCTATTATTTTTACCATATTAAGTAAGTATTCTTCTGTATATACATTTTAAAGCATTTTAACCTGTATTTTGATTTTTAACAGTATTTGTAGTTAAAGCTTTATTCCTCCAAATCTATTAAAGGAAATTACTCTAGCATAACCTTAGGGTTTTTTCCTCCTACACTCAGAGCTTTGCAAATGAGTCTCTTGGGAGAAGAGCAGGCATTTTGTAATTCACACACTACTTGCTTGCTATGTAAATGACAGGATCCAAGAGAAAATGGTTCTATTTCTGTTGTGTTTGGTATGTTTGTCAGAGACAGGAAATCCTAATAAAGAAAGCAAAAATTTGGTGGTGGTGGTGGTGGGGCATTTAGATTTAGATCTTAATTAGCCTTGATTTTACAAAGGCACGTTTTAAATTTACTAATTTCTGTTACCTAAGGAACATTAAAGATAGTGCTGTTCATGTCTGGAAGCTGTCTAGA